CGGGCCTAAACCAGGGGATGTTCAAAGAGCAGGTATCCAGCAAAGGTTGAGTACATGTAGCCGTGTAGGTAGATTGCGGAATCTCGCAGTTGTAGCCATGCGCAGTCGCCTCGCCTCATGAGTAGCAGTGCCTGGTTGGTTGCTGTCGACCAAGGTGAGCTTTCACACCAGACGTCAAATATGTGCTTGTCGTTGTGCATCAACCGAACAGCAGCCTACAAAACAAACAAAAAAGCTGCAAGAAGAAAGCCATACTCCGAGACTCAAAGCCTGTCCTGAATTGAGGAATCTCACAGAAGTGCCTGTGATCTCTCTTTAATATGACGCGGAGACTTGCAACTGCCTCACAATTTAAAAAGCATCCTTTTCGAACGATTCATGCCCATGAGATAAGAAATAAAGGCATTTGTTTGAGCTCAGCCTCATTATTAGGTGAGAGGCAGCAACAAAGTGCGTTAACCAAGTGTTTACGGTTCTAATGGCCCTTTGTGCATACATTTACTACAAATTAAATGCTACTGACTAAAACAAGTAGCCTTTTAAATTCGTAAATGCATAAGCGCTGCGAGATGCATCTACGACCGCGGGAAAGCATTAATTACGATTAGTGGTTGTCAGCCTTAAGAGCTTAATGGTCTCAATTAACATTGAGCCTAATTGTTGCCAAACAAACAGAGTTATTACACCAATAAATCTACATTGCTATTCCGCAGGGCTCCTGCGGGCCCCTCGTGGCTTACATGTACATGTCAGGACACTCAATCGACTGGTGTTGATAATTCGTCCGGCCGGTTTTCCAAAGCTAGTCATCATTGTCATGCAGCTTAAATATGTGTAAAAACCGGAGTTTTTCGGTCGCTGTTGTTTGGAGACAGTTCCAAACGCTAAATACAAAGGGCTCTGAGATGCTCTCTGCGTTTGTTGCGGCCATCTCAGTGAGATATGTCCGACTATCTATAAAACTTGAAAGTTCAACCTTGCTACGCGTTTTTGATAACATCGCTTGAGGTCGGTAACTAACTGCATGTATTAAATACTTCCCACACCCTTTCGATAGTTAGGCTGGTGACTGACTGGACAGCATGCTGCTGTGTACGGAGACAGCGTCAGGAACACGACAGAAGCCGTCTAGGTCAGGCATAATCACGGCCCTATCATATACAAGTAAGTAAAATACCCATATTTAAATATCAACCAGTTACTCCAACTAAACAGGACGACAGCTGAGGCCAGAGAGCATGGCTGCTACCAAGGGAGATTATGCTTGTGTCAGCGGCATTTTAAGTATCACTTTATCGGTGGGGGGTACAAATGCTTCAGTCGACCTATCACCTCATCTTTGTGGACACGCAATGAAGCTGCGCACAATGCGGTCCAAGCTTAATCTCCGCTTTTGCCTCTTCACGCGATGGATGGTAGAGTAATGGAATGATCTTCCGCGTTTGAGAAACTGTTGGAAAATTATATAGATCTCTGTTTTTCCTCAAAAATTTGAAGCCGAAGTAATACCACACAAATTCCAGACGGGCGTTATTTGTAAAAACAATACTACTCACAGAGTATAGTTTAAGAGTACGTGTACAAATTTATAGGAGGCACTGGCATTTAAAAAATAAGCTTTTTAAAGACATTGTCTATTATTCTCATCAAGTAAATTGAAACACGTCCTTCCCCCAACACACACACCTGTTTTTGACCCTGAGCCGATATTGCGACGATGAGGGCGTAGACACCGTCCACCGTGGCGCAGAATTCCCCTCTCTCGGCGTCATAGGCGTTGCCAACGTTGGTGATGGTGTTGTTCATGACTACCTTCTGTTCTGGCGGCATGGTATCAATGTTCAGCTGAAGGCCGGCAAAGAAGGCGATGCGCGTCCGATGGCTTTCCGTCTGGCGCATAACCTGGCGAACCACACTGGAGCCAGTCAGTACACCTGCCGAAGGGATAAAACATGAAAGCCTTGCCAGAAAATCTTAAACTCGGAGCAGAAGTGTTACAGACTCTAGGATGCAGCCTGTCGGTT